GTGTTACACATGCCTAAACTACACAAAAGTGCAACAACAACACAGCCATCAAGGCATCATTAATAGAACAGAAACTCAGCTACCTATGTGGCATTTTTTCATGCCAGAGCACAGGGTTTGCCACAGGAAAGGCCTGGCTACCAGCCCCAGAGGCTGAAGCTTTATCCTTTCCATGGGTCAGCATATGGGGCAGCGGAGGCTGAGGGAGACAGAAGCCTGGATCTCTGCTCTTCAAATTACAATGGGAAATTGAAGACTGAAGGCAGGCAATTAAATTATTAAAGAAAATGAAGGATAAGTATTATATATATTACGTACTGAAGATAAAGACAGATTGCTGGCATTTAATTTTGGCACCATCCGGGAAATAGCCGGGCAGGGATCAAAGTGAACAGAGCCAGGGTTACAGAGGTACTGGCAGGAAACGGTGGGAAGGGCTGGTTTCTGCAGAGGGAAAAGGAGCAATGTACCAGCAAGAGGAAATGCCAGGAATAAACTTCCGGATGTGGGAAGCAGTTAATACTGGTGTTTAGCTTGGGTATGGCTCTTTCCACTAACGTATTTCAAAGAGCTTTATACTGGAGTATAAGGCCAAACATGAACACAGTGGAATGCAGAGCCGTGTGCTGAATGCACTCCCTGGAGTACCAGCACTGCCCAGCCCCTCTCGTTTGCAGCACTGGCAGAGTTCGTTACATCCCACTTCCCCCTCAGCAGGGCTCATTATCCTTGTCTGTCTGTGCTGCATCTTGTAGACAAACCCTCAATGTCACCATCTCCATTTTGTTCATAGGGACGCACCAGGAGATGAAGAGACTTCCCACAAGGGCATGGAGTCAAGGAGAGACCCCAGATCTCCCATGTGCCACAAATAATGAGCTTCTGTGCCTGAAAGAGCTGCCCTGTGCTGTTAGGATCACCCTCCTCCAGCAGACCCCACAGAAAGTGAGGGGCAATCGCAGAGCCCAGCAAGCACCCCTGTGGTTCACACGTCCCTTAGTCCCACCAGACTGTGGTTAAAGGCTGGAGGGGATAATAAAAGATGGCTACAGTGCACCTTTTTGTCCTTTAAAAAAATGGGCTGGGAAATGACTTGCCCGCATGGTGTGAGTAGTTCAGCTGTGGTGCGGTGTGCCACATGCCCAGGAGAGTCTCCTGCATTAATCAAAACAAGATAGCTGGGGATGGGAGAGGAGCAAAGCATGGTGCCACGGCAGCAGCACTTCATATGCTGTACTCTCTGGGGCTGAGCTACAAGAAGGGATGTCCCTTCAAGGTCTGCTTTCATGGCCTCAAGCAGCTATCTGTAGCAGCCTGACAGGGCCCATGACTGCCTCCCAGCCACTCCAGGCCCTGGAGAGGCACAGTCCTGCACCCAGTGTCCAGGCCAGGATGGGTAGCCAGCAGCTTCCATAACTTTCTAGTTTTTGCCCTAATGAGAACAAATTTTGGGTATGATTGCAGTAGTTTCTAAGTGCATTCAAACCTCTGGCAAGCTCCCGTGTTAACCCCTGTCTCTTTCTTTAGCTTCTTTCCAGTGCCAGGACCATTGGTAACAGATATTCAAAAGTATGCAAGTCTTTCTTAAAAGCCCCATTTTTCAAGAGCAGCTTAGAGGATGAACTGTTGTTATGTTGGCTGGATGTTTTGGAAAGCTTAAGGCTATCCTGCTTTCCATGGTATGAAACACTGTGGTACAACTGAAGAAACAAAACGGTGATGATTCCACCTGACAGTTTTTTCATTGCTTCTGTGAGAAGGGGAAACTGAGCCAAGAAGGTGTCCCAGAAGTCAAGCCATGAGCCACTGCAAATCTCTGGGAATAAAGCAATGCTGAGGGACTGGCTTCTGGTAAAATGTGTGTTTCTGCGACACTATTATTCCTTCCGAATCAGTTTTACTAAGTGTCCTGCATGTGCCCTTTGCTCCAGCGACAGGATATCCTTCATTTGTCTGCACAAAGCGCAGATGAGCACTTCTTCATGTTGTTTTCCAAGTCTGGTGGGAGGGTCAGCAGGGGCCGAAGCAGCTGCTCCAAGTAAAGGAAAGGTAACCATGGCAACCCAAGTTATCTGCATCCTCCATGTATTTCCTTCTCCCCACCCTACATCATATCTTTCCCACCCAAAACTCAAGCCCATAGAGCCAGTGACCAGCTGGCAGGATGGGAACTGTGGCAGGGTCTCCTGCATCCAGTGCATCTTGCCGTGTTTCGGGACTCACTGCTGCAGGCTGAGGTCATCAAAAAGAGACTGAAAGCATAGAGAGGGGTAATTTGCAGAAGGCAGAGCTCTTCACTTCTGTAGATGGGGCGCTGGATATGTTGCCCTTGCTCCAGAGTTGCAGATTTATTGATGCTGCTCCTGGTTTTGGCTCTGAGCTGTAGCCCTTCCACAGCAGCAACAGCTACTCCATCTGCGCCCCACATCAAACCCAGCTACAGTTTTGGCCGGACTTTCCTGGGACTTGATAAATGCAACGCCTGCATTGGGACATCCATTTGCAAGAAATTCTTTAAAGAAGAAATCAGGTCAGAAACTCAGCACAGTCATTTTTAAAATGTTCTGCATAGTGTTTTAAAGTGTTCTGCAACTTGAAAGTTGCCTGTCAGTACTTCCAAGTACTTTAATGAATGACGATGCAAAGAGTAACTTAGCACCCGGTTGCCATTACAGTGCCTAGTATTTTAATTAATGTCTATAAGCTACTGCTTTGTCTCTTTTCTTTTAAAGCCACACAAACATTATCAGACTTCAGCCCTGAATTATAATTTGAAAGCAGGAGTAAAAGGCACAATTTTCTGCATAGAGAGTGGCTCTGAAACAATTCAAGGCAGTGATGGGGGAATGAGAGAGAGAAGGAAGATAATCAGTTTGTTTAGATGTACTGGAAGTATTTTATTATAAGCAACTTAGAAAAGGCAAAGGGGGATTATCTTTGTATGCTCCCAACAGACTGTGTTAACTACAAACAGATAAACATGCTATATCATTTTGTACCAGGTGCAACAACACAAATGTGCAGAATTTCACGTGCGTATTAACTAACATCAAAAGCAATCTAAACCTGCCTGAGGCACAAGGACTTCTGCACATCAGGTTACCTACACACTCAAAAATAGATGGGACTAAATTATTAGTATGCTCTGGGGAGGTTTCTGTGAGAACTTGAAGGCAGAGAGAGAAATTTCATCTGCCTTGCAGTTGATGAGACATTCACTGTCCAAGAAGCAGTCAAACTGATCCAATCAGTTTTAGGTTCAAAAGCAGAGTGTATCTGAGACAGCAGGTAAAATGTTGCCAGTGTATTTGAGGAGAAAGTTAAAGGCAGGGCTTGGACGAGGAAGGGTTTATTTGGTCTGATATGATTTATGAAGCCATATGCACTTTCTTTTATAGACATAAAAGCCTGGGGGAGAGAAGAAATGATTATTGTAAAATTGTATTTTTAATGCTATAATGTGAGTATTACAATATTGGACAAATTGCCATTTTTATCTTAAACTACCCTATAAAATGTAACATGGTAAAACCATAATGGTTTGTCTAGGATGGACTTGTAATACTGAACATCCATCCTTCCCTCACTGCAGCTGGAAAAAGGCAGGTTGTAGCTTTGCTACACCAGGGCACCCCTTGCCGTGGCACTCCAGGGGTCCCAGCCCTCAACACTTTGCCCTCTTGGCTTCCTGTCTACACGGTTCCTGCCAAGGGTGATGCCAGGGAGTGCAGTAAGGTGAAGAGGCACTAAGAAGGGCCAGGCCAGCAGTGCGGGGTTTCTCCCAGCCCAGCCCAGGCTTCTGTCCCAGAACAGGATCCATTTGTAATCACCGTATTCATCTGGCTGACATAGGCGGGTGGGAGTCTGGAGGGGCTAGAGGTGTGTTCAAGGGAACAGGCTGCCCTGCACCTTATGCTCTGGCATGGGAGCTGGCTCCTGCCCTGTGCCCCACCTCCTGCAGCCCCTTTGCCACTCACCTGTGTAGGTTTTTAGGGACCTGCCACCAGGTACAAAGCAGCTTCCATGCATGCAGCTTGCCACAGGTGCACCATTTGGGTTTCTCCCCCTTAGCCACTGGGGAGGCTGGGGCTGCGCAAGCTTCCTTCAGCCCTGCCAAGAACAGCAGTAGCCTTCTGCAGCAAGCAACTGCCTCTGGCTGGCCAGTGGCTGCACCCAGGAGCAGGAAAGGGGTGCTACTTGAGTGAAAGCAGGAGGCCCCCACACTGGCTTTCCTCTGGGAGACAGTGGGAAGGGGGTGTGGGTGCAGGGGGTTCAAGTGGGGTCCAGGAGTGCAGAGCTGTAAACACGTGGGAGCACGATGCTCCTGCCTCAGGGAAAGTCAAGGGGCTTCCTAAACCAAAGACTTTTTTGTCTGTCCTGTGAGCTCACAGTCGGTTTCCCACAAGCAGTGCAGCACAGGAATAAGTGATAACATGCAGTTCTGCTCTGAGCACTTTGGAAAGGGTAACTTTTAAAAACATTCTCCTGAGCAGTCAGTCAGCTTCAGACACTTCATTTTTGGGGGTTTTTTTCAGGGGTTAAACTTGTTCTCCCACAATTTATTAACAGAGAGGATTTTTTTGGCCAGAGGAAGATTAAATGGGGGAAAATTTCAGTGACACTCATGCTCTTTGATCTACCCTCCTGTACCCTCTCATGTGTTCACAAAGGTGGATGGCACTTGGGTCTTCTCTGCGTTGATCCTCATTAGAACATGCTTCATTAATTCTCTATCATTTCCAGGAGCTGTGACATGTATTCACACTTGACTAACGAGTAAGAAGATGCAGGTTTTGTTCCCAGAATGGATGGTGACTCCTCTTCTGTTCTAATGTTCTTTACTTCCCTTGTCCTTACCCAAATGTATACATCTGTAAATGAGAATACCAGAGCCTGCCCATCAACTGTCCAGAGAACAGAGAGTAGCGGAAGTTTTTGTAAAATATTAGTTTTTCAAAACACTGAGAAGCTGAGCTGACCAGAACAATTTGCAGACTTGTGCCAATACTGGTGATGAGCTTTGGCAAAAAGTAACGGGAAGGAAGTCTGGAAAAAATTGGAATGCTTCATTTCAATGGGCTTTGTATGTAATTTCTTTATTTTTTGGTTTTAAGGCTTAATTAGGAAAAAAAGTTTAAACTCCAAATGCAAGCAAAATTATTTTGACTGGAACAAAATGCTTTATTTCATCAAGGAAAAAAGAAAAAAAAAATTTGATTTTCTTCAGTGTTCTGGGTTCGTCCAAAATCTGTAGCCTGTGACTTAAGTCATTCACATATATCTTACTGTCTTAATTAGAGCACATTCAGGCCCTTAGCTAAAAGGCTTCATATGAGAGTGAATTATTGTCACAGCACAACTTGATGACGAATCCTGCAAGCGTCTAGAGCATGTGCCAGGCCAGTGTTGTGCTGCCCAGAAATGATGCCAAATACAGAATTGCTGTGGCCCATGCAGGATTCCCAGGCCCACGTGGTTCTCCCCTGAGAGCTCTGCAGAGGAAATTGCTCCATCCTCACTCAAATTAAGGCTCAGCCCTGGATTTCACACATCCATGCTCTGCTTATGTGCAGGAGGCAGCTCTTTCCTAGTCTCTGCGTGACGTGAGCTCCCCTGAACACACAAGCTTGACTCAAATCACAAGGCACATTTTGTGCTTAACTTAAAAAAAATGGAAAGAAAAGGAAACCCAACCCACAGCAATCTCCTCCCTGTACGTGCCTGGCACACTGCACCTGCTTTGCCAGTTAGGCACTGGGAGGGGTCATGAGGCACAACAAATCACATTGAGGCACAGCAATTATTCTCTGCTCTTTAGTCCTACCTCAAAACCAGACCAAAGGAAAAAACCCAAAACAAACAACAATAGCAAAACAACCCAAGCCAAAGAAGGTGTTTGTTTTCATCTAGGATGCCCTAATTGTAGGGAAGCTTCAATTTCATGTTGGGCAAAATGCCCAAATGACTGAAATGCCTGGACCCCCCAGCCTGCTCATGCAAGGGGCCAGGATCTTCCATTTCTGGTCAGCCTCCACTTCTGTGACAATTTTTTTGAAGAAGCCACATGGCTAGAGCTGAAAGCCAAAGCAGGGCAAGCATCAGTGCTTCAGGGCAACTGGCTTTCCCCTGCCCCTGGCATCCATGCTTGATCCAGAGCGGAGCTGCACAGGATCTTTGATGGGGAAGGGGAGCAAAGCACAGCCTTCCAGAGGGGTCTCTGGTGGTGGGATGTGACTAGCATTTCCACGTCAGTTATTTTGCTGAAATCAGAGGAAATTAATCACCCCAAAATTTCTTGGTGTTGATTTCCCAACTGGAAGTAAAAAGGAAAGATCAGCTGCAGCTTCCAGATTTGTAAATGTCTTTTTATCTAACTCCAGCTAGCTGATCCTTCAGGGAACTTCTTGCCTCTCCTGTTTCACTTCTGAGCTATCAGCTTTAATTTATGGTGAGATTAAATTAGATCGTGCTTTTTTACACACTCAGGCAGGAGGCTTTAGAGGCAGCGAAAGTGTGACATTAGCCAAACGAAAGGTCAGAGTTCAGCCGTTCTAAAAGAGCAGGTGACAGACATACTTTGAAAACAGGCACCACGCTCCTCAGCTCCTGCATGTGTGACACGTGTCTGAGCAGGGCTGAGGGGGCTGCTGAAACAAACAAAAAAAATTGTCAGAGCCTAATTAACCAGCCCATATGCTCCCCTCCTGTGCCTGTGCAGGGGAAGCAGATCAGTGCAAGATCTCCATGGCTACAGTGGTACCACACACCCAGGGCACACATACACCCATTGTACCCCCTCATCACTCATCCCTACTGCTAAAATACAGCCAGTGATGTCATAGGGGACCTGTTGATCCCAGTACTGAGTAAGGCCACCACGTCATAACAAAAGGTCACTTTAGTATTTCCAAATATATTACTTGTTGGAGGTTTTTGTTCTGCAGGGTCCCTTAAAGTGTTGAGTACTCTTTTTTGGGCCCCTTTCTCTGGGATTGAGGAAAGCAAAAAACTCCAGGGATTCCTCATTAACTGAGACCTTGCAGTCCTCTCCCTTCACTCCCTGTCTCCCGTCTGGGTCTTCCACCCCATGTCACTGTTCATTGCAAAGAACGGTTTCAGCATGAAGCCAAGATGGACATTTTTTTCCAAAGCACATTTCCTCAGCAGTCACCTGTGGCCTGCTCCTTCACCCCAGCACCGAGGGCCGCCTGCCCCAGGCTCGCTCAGCTTTTTCCACGTGATGGCAGAAAGTCCCTGGGGCTTGTGATGCTGGGAGCAACGGCGGCAGTGCTGGCGCTGCGCGGGTGTCTGTGTGGCTTGTTAACCCGCTCTCCGTGGGGCTCTCGTTTTGGTTTGGCAGGTTTGACACCTGGCTTTCTTCTCATTTAAAAGTGCCCTCCAGCTACCTGCTCAGCTACTCGGGCAACTACACCGACGATGCCAAGAGCTGGCGGCTGGTTGACATCACCCGGCTGACCTCCAAGGACCGTCACGACCGGGCCGACAAGCGCATCTGCACCTCCCTGCTGAAGACCAAGACCTGCAGCCTGGAGCGCGCCCTGCGTCGCACGCACCGCTTCCAGAAGTGGCTGCGTGCCAAGCGCCTCACCCCCGACCTGGTCCAGGTCTGTGTCCCACGGCCCCACACCGCTGGGAGGAGTGGGGAGAGGGAGCCCTCAGGGGGGATGGGTGGTTTTGGAGGGGAAAAAATGGGTCTGAAGGAGACATGGCTGCAACTTGCTGAATGGAGGGAAAGTCTGGGTGATGGCCAGCCCTTTACCTCCTGCCCCAGCTGGTGGGGAGAGGGCAGCTCCGTGTCCCCCCAGCCGAGCCCACCCACCGTAGGGGAGAAGCAAAAGTGGGAAGAAAAGGTCCACAGTTGGGACCCAACCCCCAGCAGCCGTACGTAGCACAGCCTGGCCTGGGCAGGGGCTTGGACCTGGGAAGTAGGACATCAACATGTGGCTCCATGCCAAGCTAGGGCTGAAGGCCCATAGGAAGCCATAGAGCCTGCTGGCTTTGGGCATGGGGATAGCACAGGCCCGTGATATCTCTGCTGGGTTTTTTTTTTTCAAGTTTCCTATTATGTTTCAGCACTCTTTTTTTGTTGTTTGGTCACAAAGTTGTACCTAAAAGGGCAGCCCATGCCTTGAAGGTGATTTAGCTCTGGTTAAGAACTGGTGCAGCTTGGACCCCTCTGCCTGTGGCCAGCGGGGCAAGGGTGGTCAGAACCAGAGCCTCAATTCCTCACCTACCTGCTGCCTATAGCAAATGATCTCAGGCACAAAGAAGTGCTCTGCTCTTTCTGTCACAGTCCTGGGGTGTCACAGGCGAAGCCGGGACAGGCACGCTCCAGGCATCCGGGAGCTCACTGCCACCAGGCACACAGTTCAGCCATGGCACGGGAAGGCAGACACCCAGACAGGGCTGGAGGGGCAGAGCGGTCCAGCTTCCCAGGAGAGCCAGCATCTGAGTGTTCCCCGTGCTGAGGGATGCCACAGGCAGCCAGGGTTGGCCACCAAGTACACCAGTGTGTTTTGCAGCAGCCGCCTTGTATCTAAGAGCAAAAGTCCCCTCTCCAAATGCACACACATCTCCCCAGCCCACCCAAACAACAGCAAAGCACTGCAATATGCACTGGCAAGGGGCAAGGGCCAGGGTGGAGGCTGGACATAACTCTAAACAAGACGCTGGGAGGCAAAGCATTATCACAGTACTTCTCCACCCTTCCAAGTGAAAAGCAACTGTGAAAAAGTGACTTTTTTTGGTGGGTTTTGGTTTTTTTTCTATAAAGACAACTGCTTCCTCCTGCCTGCACGCTGCTGCATCTGCTCAGCTTTGCTGAGTGCTAAAGATACATTGCTTTAGTTTTTCCACTTCTGTCACCCCATGGAGCCACACAGCTGAGGAAGAAGAGCTGGAGACCCCCTGCTGTAGCAACAGCAGCAGGAACAGTGTCAGGGCTAGTGCCTGAGTTGCTTCAAGACAACTCACCTGAGTCACTGTCAGCCCTTCATGACAGGTCATCCTGAAGCCATGACCCTCCCTTCCGAGGAGGTGAAGTGCAGGATGACATATGCCATGTGGGGAAAAATTCTTTGGAGCTAAGCTACACTGTACTTTGTCCAGTAACCACGGGGAGGGTCGGTGTGTGTGGGTGTGTGTGTGGGTGTGTGTGCAGAAATGCATCACTTCTACTTAGCACATACCTCACCTGAGCTTGTGGGCTTCAGGTGGGGACACCTCCTCCTTGGGTGGCAGGCAGCAGCTCCCCAGGCACTCACCGGCCATCGCCATCCCCCAAGGCAGCTCTGAAGGAGGCTGCAGGAGGGCAAGGTGGGGTGCCAGGCCCTGTGGCATTGCTGGAGTGTGCAAGGAGTTCCAGGCAGCATGCAAAACCATGCTGCCCTGAAAGCTATGTGAAACAGGAGGAGTTCCATTTGCTGGGTGGAAAGGTAATTGGAGAAATGTAGCTCTGTAGTATCTCAGATCTAATGCAAAGTTAATTCATTAGCTGAGCTCAAATCCTTCTCCCTAAAAGGCTCTTGATGTTGCTATACATATTTCGCTACCTCATTCTCTCTGAAACTGAATCCCTGGCTGAGTTGGCTGGGGTGCACACACATGCACACATATATGCATGCACATAGGCACATGTAGCACCATGTGGAGACTCTGGCTGGGGCACCATGGTCTTGCATCTATCCAGTTTCTTCCAGGGGGTTGAATTTCCCCATACAGCAGTAGGAAACTGAGCTGATGTTGGCTCCAGGGTGCCTCTGAAGCAAGATCCAGGGGCCAGCCTGGGGGGACATGACCAGGAACAAACTCCCTGGGACATTTCAGTAACCCCTGCAGCTTTTTAGCTGGATAGGGCACAGGAGGCTGCAGGGAGGCCCAGACCTTTGCATACCAGCCTCAGGATTTTTCAGCTTGTGTTTTCATGGTTCTTTGGTTCTTTAAATCAAGTGGATAAAACCTAAACTGGGATATAAATCCCTTGTAACAGCTGTTAATATAGGTGTGAATACACAGAGGAGCACAGCAATCCAAGGCCCTGGGGCCTACCCCCCACCTCCAAATTTCAGCAGCAATCACTGTTTAAAATTGGATATGTGCTCTGTGAAATGGCTGCTGGCCTCACAGTGGTCTGAATTGAAAAACAGCCTGTGGCAACAACATTTCAGTCACACAGTGCATTTGAGCACGTACGTGAGGCACCCCCCACAGCCCTGTTGTGTGGGCCACCACAGGTTATGAGGTTGACCCCCCAGGCTGTCCAGCATCACAGAACCAGGGATCGCCTTCCCCTCTGCCCACCCACCTGCCCCCTTGGAGCTAAAAGCTGTAGGAGCACCTCTGCTTGCACCCCAGCCCAGCTGTGCTGCCCCTCTGCGGTGTTGGCCGGGCTCATGTGTGTTGGTAACCCAGCATGAGCTGTTGGAGGGGGGTTTCTTGGGGCTACCACATGTCATTGCAAATGCTTACCTGCAGCACTGCTCTTCTGGTTTGTTTGTTTGGTTTTTTTGCCCCTTCTCTGTTTTCAGAGAAGATAACAGCACACTGCTGTTGGTGCCTAACACCATGCCCACCCTCTTCCACAAAGCCATGATCACCCAGCGGTCCCTGTGCTCCTCTCCCTGCAGTTTTTCCTACATATCAGTGCTGAGGACAGCTAATGAGCTCTGGTAATTTTGTCCTACAGAGCAGAGAACTATGACAAACAGTAATGTGCTTGAATCAAAATGACAGACCATGAAGTAATGTTTTTACACTTCATGCCGCCTGCCCTGCCTGACCCAACTACCAGCTGAGCTGCCTGCCACAGTGATTATTTCACCCACTACAGTAAAAATCTTTACTGGATGCAGTGAAGTCTTCAGTGTTAAAATCTAGCCTGCCTCAGAGATGAGCAGGATTTAGATGGGGCTCAGCCTGGGCAGTAGCCCCAGCCACCCACTGCTTCACTCAGGAGCTCATCACCTCAAACCACTTTTGGATGCTTTTCCTGTTTGAGATGGCAGAACAACAGAAAAAATGGGTTAGTTTCAGCACAGATCACCTGCAGGGCAAATTTGCAGCCCTGCCTTCAATGCACAGCCTGGAAAATGCTGCAGGCAGACAGATGAAAGCAATGCCAACATGAAAAAAAACAGCCATATTGAGCCCCTCTCTCTAGGATGTGCTGTTTCAAACTACTGACCAGCACCTCAAGCCAACACCCAGCAGATGAGCTGGAACCATGGTTATGTGGCAACTTTGCTGAGTGCCCAGGCAGCAGCTCGCTGATCCGGCAGCTGGTCCATCCTAGGAAAGGACAGATCTTACCAGCCTCCCACAGCCACATCCCAGACCTGACGCCCCTTTAACCCTGGACTTTGACATCAGAGACATGCATTGTTAAACCCCCTGGCACAAGCTGCTGGAGGAGGCCACTAGCAGCAGTGCCTGCAGTGGGGATGAACACCATAGCTTCAACAGTGTCCTGTTTCTCTGTTTTGGAGGGTGAACAAAACCCTTAGATTCAAACAGCCGGGAGCTGCAGGTGTTTTGACATCTATGTCCAAATGTTTCCTCCTGGATCCCACCCCAAACTTGGTAATTTGGTGAAGCTGTACCCAGGCAGTGGTATGTGGGGCGGGAGGTGGCAGTGCTCCTGAGCTGTGCCATCCATCCTTAGCTGGCTGAAGAGAAAGCAGAGTGAGGAAAAGTTGTATTCCAGAAGTTGGTTTTGTGTCAGAGTGAATTCTGGGTTCATCCACACTAGATACACATACATATGCACACATGGGAGTTTAAAACACATCGCATACTGTGCAGTAGGAAAAAAAAATCACAGATGAGTGCAGGAACTGCTTATTCTCAGCTATAAATACGCAGGTATTTAACCAAAGTAAATAAGAAGCATTCCATATCAATCACAAAACAATCATCAGTCAGTCTGTCATGTCTTATTCTCTGGGGTGATAAGATGCTGCAAAGGACTTAAGATATTCTCAGACAAATCATTATCTCCAGTGTTTCGAATATGTGCTCTTCAAGTTTTTCTTCATCAGTGTTTACAATTCTGGCTCCCTTTCTGCTATAGGGATGTTTCCATAAGTCTACTAGAAGGGGAGGCCTGTCTCCACTGAAAATCTTGAGCAAGTGCTGAACTTTAAGCATTTGAGTAGCTCTGCCAAAATCAAAAGGCTCCACTGTCCAGCTTTGGTGGATCGGGGCTTCACTGCTACTCATATGCCTGAAATGGCTCTTCAGGAAAAAAGGAGCTGTGACCACCACGTGCAGCACATGTCCATGTCTGTGTTAATAGGATGAGCTCTGACCTTGGAGAAAAAATCCTAACTTTCATGCATTCTCTGCCACCATTATTTCTGTTCCTGCTGTGTACTCTTAAGGGTCTCAGGAGTTCATGTTGCAAACTCCTGGGGGCAGCAAGGCTTTCTAAGATTGGCTGCAAATATTTTCTGAACTGCAAGACACTTTTTCCACCATTTATCTCTGCTTTAGCACAGCTCTCTCTGCTCATTTTTTCTCACTTCCCTTCCAAAGGGAAAGTGACAGAGTCAGCTACAATGTGCCCAAAAGTGCTGTGAAACAGAGCTCCATAACTATCCCTTCCCCTGCCTCCTTCGATGGTTTTAGATAATTAGTTGAAAAAATATTTCCTTGACAAGGCTACACAAGAGGAGGAAGTTATATGAAGACTTGTAACTAGAACTGAGAAGAATTATTTCTGATACATCTTTAAATATTTTTTGGGGGGAAAAAGAGTTCTTCAAGTGTTGGGATGATGCGTCTCAAGTAGTTTTCACCAGCTGTTGGCATTCAGGGCCTGTTTTCGTGCAACTGCTGGCCGAGGAAGGAGTGGTTGAGACCTCACCAGGGCCAGCAGGGAGACAGAGGAGGGGACATGGGAGGTCCAGTCCCCCCTTTTCCACCTCTGACTGGGGGAGTGGCACACTCTCCCCTTTCCTTGTTTGTTCTTTTCTTAGTCATGGCTGGGTAATACAGTGTTTTATGCCAAATGAACAGCTCGTGCAGGAAGGGCTGAGAGAGACCTACCTCAGAGTTACCAAATGACTTGGGGAGATCCTGAATCAAATCTTTTCTCTCAGCATGAAGAATGGCAGGGAGCAATGTGAGTTCCAGTGCCCTTTCCTCTGAAGCAAGAATCCCAGCCATCAAATTATAAAGAAAGCCCAAAAGAGTCAGTTTGGCTACTGGGACAATTTGGAAGAAAAAGGCTTAGCAAAAACCTGATTCCCTTCCCTAGCAGAGGCATGGCAGGGCAGAATTTTTGTGCCAGTCTTGGCAACTCTCTGTACCTCCACTCTCTTTATCTATTAAGGAAGACTGACTTCAAAACAAAGGTCTTTTTTGACGATGAAGGTATAATTTTCTATGCCATTTATCCCAACCATATCTTGCTTGTGCAATTTCACAAGCTAAACCTCCAGATCTGAAAGGTGCATTGCAGTGATGGCTGGCTCCATTAGCCAAATAATTCTTTTTTTAATGATGGTGGTATTTACAAGAAATATGCACAGGCTATTCAAGTTTCGTTTTGATAGTTAGTGTGCAAGTTTATCAAAGAGAGAATATATCCTGTGTTTGTACCCACATGCAGTGTTTATTTATACTTCTAAAGCGTGTTTACTGACCGTAGCAAATATTATTTTCAAGAAAGCTGCTCACAGGTTAAACAAATAACAAAGTGATCTGAAGACATTATTTCAGGAGGGAAGTGACCCATTGGCTTAATGACAGGGAGGCCTCCCACAGCAAGCCAGGGTGCCAGGGCTGGAAACCCAGGCAGAAGGTGGAGGCTCATCAGCATGGAGTGTCATGGTGCCACGCAATCTGGGAGTGATGAGGTTTGCAGTGTTCATGGCTGCTCCATTAAGACTGGATGCTGTTGTGGAAACCTGAGTTGTGAACATGCATTTTCGAATGGTGCAGGTTTTTTCCTGTGGGGGGAATTTCTGCAGAGATCTGCCCCATGTACCCATCAGCAGCTGTGTAGCAGAGGTAGAGGCGCAGAGGACAGAGCACAGAAGTCCCTGTATCCCTGGCATGGGCCACGCAGATTGCAACATCTTCAGACTGGAAAATAAACTTCTTTGTTGTGTTTTCCCCTCTCATCAGGGCCTGTCCAGCCCGATGCTGCGCTGCCCGTCCCAGCGTCTCCTGGACAGGATAGTGCGGCGCTACGCGGAGGTGCCGGACGCTGGCAGCATCTACATGGACCACCTCACCGACCGGGACAAACTGCGCCTGTTGTACACCCTGTCAGTGAATTCACACCCCATCTTGTTACAGGTACATATCACCTGCCCTGGCTTGATACATCAACCCCTAGCCCCTCGCAAGCAAACCCTCACATGAGCTCTGTGCCAGCCCCCAGCTGCAGACAATTCCCAGCCCTGGCCTTTGGCAAGCTCCCTAGCCTTCATAAACCACATTTCTTCTATGGGGTTCAGTGTCTGAGCCCAGGCAGGCTCCTGTAGTGTTCCTTGCATCAGCCTGTGAAGCTGTGGAAAGATATGAATGCCCAGCTTCTTAAATAAACCAGAACCCAGATGGATTATTGCGTTTAGTGCATTGTGAAAAATAGGGTTTTACATGTCCCTGATAATTCACAGTGTTATGTTTGCATTGCTAATATATTACTTAAAATCACAGCCTGTTTATAAAAGAGAAAGAGCATGCTTCAGTGTGGGAGGTCCAAGATGTGGTGTTGAGGTTGACATGGACTGGGGAGCAGAGGTTTCCCAGGCTCTGAGTGTCAGTGCTGTTTTTTCCATTTGCATGCCTTGTAAATGGAAAAGGGCAGCCTTGTAGAGCTGGAATCCCAAGTACAACTGAGCTCTGAGTTTGAAGGCAAAGAGCTGGTAGGCCTTGCATTCCTCTCCTGGTTCCCTCTTGACACTCCTGGCACATGGCTCCTCTCTTTTCTTACACGTCTCCTAGGGAATACCCTCAGCCTTCCCCACCACTGCTCCACCTTTAGTCCTCATTGTTTTGTCCTGGAACTATTTGAGATACCACGAAGAAAAGAGGCCACAGTAGTATCTGTCTCCTGCCCCAGGCCACCACTGCCCCTAGCAGCACACAGGGCTCTGCCCATGTGCAGAGAGTGGGACTGTTTGTGCTTTGGGAGTCTCCCAGGGGTCATTCAGCCATCCCAGCCATGGCTTGCTGGGGCATGAGGCTGCAGCTCTCAGCACAGAAAAGACAGGGGAATGCAGCATAGAGAGGTGAGAAAAATATGAAATGGCTTGATTTTACATGGATGCCCAAAATGCCTTCACAGCAGAAGGGAGAAGCAACCTCAAACATAACACTGGACTATTTCATAACCCAGGCCTTAGCAGGGTCTGGAGTGCTAGGGAGACAGAGAAGGTACAATGTAAATGAGAGACAGCTTTGTGTTGGCGTGGCCGTCACACGGCTTGGCTTCCACCTGGAATAGCCGCCCAACTAGTAGGAGCTGGAGTGATGCAGGGAGCCCAGCCCAGTGCCCACACTGTAGCACACATCCAGCACTGCTGTCCCTGAACCTGCTAAATTCTGAGAAATGCCTGGCCATTTTGTAAGAGACTAATTAGTAAAAGCTGCTTCAGCCTCACCTCCAAGGCATGACTTCAGCAGGGCAGTGCTTATGACTGACCAAAAGTTCCATAAAGATGCTTAAAATTAGCTTTTCAGTGCCTAAATTTTTTATGAATTTGAAATCTGTTACCTTGGACTTTCTAGTTAGTATCCTTCATTGAATAGGTCTCGATATATCAGACTTCTCTCCTCTTCCTTTATTTAAAAAAAAATAAAAATGAAAGGGTGTGTGTGGGGGAGCAGCATAGCTAGTCCAGGGTGGAGCAGAGCCTCCCCTGGCTGCTGGGTCAGGGTGGGGTGAGGAAGTGTGACAAGCTGCTTTAGAAAGCAGAGTGTGACACCAGCGATGCTGCTTGAAGCCAGTCAGGGTGCTTGAAGGTCTCCCGGAAATGAGGTGGGTCTGTGAGGCAGAACGCAGAGCCCAGAGAGCAACCCTCCTGTTCCCACTCTCCCTGGCAGATCTTCCCTGACGTGGAGGGATGGCCCTTCCCACGGTACCTGGGCTCCTGCGGGCGGCTGGTGGTCAGTGCCAGCACCCAGCCCCTGCGCGAGTTCTACGGAGCAGCCCCTGAGGTGGCTGCCGACCTGGCCCTCCAGCTCCTCGCCATCCTCCGCTTCATGGGCACCAACGACCTCAACTATTTCCTCTACTTCACCCACGTGGACGCTGGCACCTTTGGTGTGTTTAGCAACGGGCATCTGTTCATCCGGGATGCCAGCACGCTGGGGATCATTGACAAGGAGGAAGGTACTCAGCAGGGGCTGTGGCTGCGCATCTGCTGCAGGAGGGCTTAGCAAGACAGGGGAAACAGACCTTTCCCCTGCTACGCTTGGCTCTGTTGCTGCTTATGTTGTGTGTTTTGTTTTTTTTAATCAATGAAACATCACTTGTTAAATTAAATAATGAAAAGATCACAGAGAGACTCACCAACAGCAAAAGCACCAGCAGCTCCTGCCATCCTAGGTCTGAGCCAGGAAGGCAAAAGCCTTTGGCTCGTGCAGTCAGCAGTTTGGTGACATGCTGTGGGGGCTTACATCCTGCCTGGCCCCCTCTGTGGCTGGCAGCAGCACTGAACGTGCACAGTGCTGAATGCTCTCATCTGAAGACTTCCTAAATCACCTCCTTTAAAAATTTTACCACGCAAATGTCAATATTTGCAAGAACAAATTTCATAACGTCATTTGTTTTAAGAACTGGATCTCATCAGACTCTTTTTAAGTGCATTTATCACATTAACAAACCACCATTAATGTTATAACAAGAAAATCCCCCTTTTGTAATTTTTACGTAAAGTCCAGAATTGCAGAATCATTCTGGTTGGAAAAGACCACTGAATCATTGAGTCCAACCATAACCTAACTTTACCAACGATTAACCTAACTCTACCAAGTCTAGTACTTAAACCATGTACCTAAGCACCACTTCTATATGCCTTTTAAAAATCTCCAAGGGTGGTAATTCAACCAGCACTCTGGGCAGCCTTTTCCGGTGTTTAATTACCCTTCCAATGAAGAAGTGTCTTCTAATATCTATCTAATCTAAACCTCCCTTGGTGCAACTTGAGACCATTTTCTCTTGTCCTGATCAAGGGTTACGATTCACTTTTCAGAGGTTATATCACTTCACTTCTGGAAGTGGAGTTAGTAAAAGACTACTCCTCTGATAATTTAACACTTTCATTTTGAATGTTCGCACTTTCAAGAGGCCTTTGCTCAGCTCACACATTCAGCTGAGTAGATCTCAAATATACAGAAGCAGCTGTCAGAGATTTTTCCACTGGGTTTCTTTTTCTTGTCCTAACAGTCATTACTGTTGATTTTACTCCAGCTAGATGAGCTGTTGTTGCAATATAATTATATTGGTTAACATGGAACTCTCATGGGTTTGACTATTTGTGGTATTTTTTGTAGGAACTTCACGTTTTAGCTTAGTACTCCAGTTCTTCTCATTTTTTTTCTGCATCAGTTTGACTTGACAGGCTCCGCCTCCTCTGTCAGGCAGTTCTGCTGAGATCTGTCATTCAGAAAAATAAGTATATTTCAGGAGTGAGAAAACTGGCCCATAGAAAGCTTCAGTGCAGAGTACTTTCTGGTGAAAGACAGGTGTATCCTTTAGGCAGTACCAAACCTCACGTTAATACAGGGGTGCAGGCATATATGATTATCCAAGATTTCTCTCCTGTGCTTCTAACAACTGATTTAATTGTCTCTAATAGGGAGCCAGCTGATGGATGGCCAACAGGAGTATAAAGATATATTTAGCTGTTTGACTGTGGACTGTCAGTCTGCATTTGTGTCCTGTAACTCCATCAGAGAGAAGCACAGCCTCATCATGGTGTGTCAAGAGCTTTTGCCTAAGCTGCTGAAGGGGAAATTCTTGCAACCTGTGCAGGAGAAAATAGACAGCTTCCTGCAGCACTGTGCCGATGGCCTCACTGATGACCAGGGTGTCAACGTGGAGGTTGCAAAGCTGGCAGAGCTCCTGAAACCGCTACGGTCCTGTGATTCACGTTTTGCCTACCGCTACCCTGACTGCAAATACAGTGACAAGTACTGATGGCTTCAGAGGAGGGGTCTCTCTGGAGGGACTGGGGCAGTGTCAGCCCCCTGCCAGCACGGGAAGCAAGAAGAAACCAGGGTAGATGGAAAAAGATGCACCAAATTTGGGCTTCCTCATCAAGGCAGAGGATGAGAGAGCAGAGTGCACATGGGATTTATTGTTTGTCTCCCAGAGATGCATTTGTTACGTGAGATGTTAGACATGATGTAAGGCTTATGGATTATTAGCATTATCGTGAGTGACAGAGGCTACAGGATTAATAAATCTTGTTCATGTGTTTTGGCCCTGGAAGGGTTTTCCCTGCCATTCATTAAAAATAAACCGTCCAAAGGCAGCACACTCATAACCAGCTAGATAGAAGAGCTTTATTATCAAGAAAGTCTTTGTGATCAAGATGATATATACATGATGTGGGATGGATGGAAGCATTTAAGACTTTCCTTGTGGGGATTTTTAAATCATAGATAAACTGGACCACTGGATCAGTTCCTTACCATCATCCATCACAAATCACTTTTATAAAATATTTAAATTTTATTACTTTTATGGCACACAGAACAGAAAGATGCAATCAACAGCATGAAACAGCTGAAAGACCCCATGTCCCTTGAGACTTAATTTCACTAATCCACAAATATAATCACTTTCAGTCATTCCCAAGTTGATGGGCAGTAATGGGAGACTAATGAATGTTCTTGTTTTAAGATCAGAAGAAAAACCAAGTCTGGGACGTGATTGTCCAGAATATACTTTCACAATTTTCTCTCTAGAGAAAAATGAAGGAACCATTTGCATAAAATAATTTAAATGGGAAAATTATCTTAAGAGCAGAAACAACATGGGCAGGAGGTGACAAATTAGTTTACCCTGAGGCCAGTGAGACTTGCTGAACACGCAACACTCCAGCGTAGGTGCTGGGCCACCCTCCAGGAGCTGGGGAGGCCTAGGCCCTGACCAGTAAGAGGTACAGCCATCCTCACCCATTTGTCTTACAAAGGAGGAATCAGTAAGTCAGTCCCTAAAAAAAATATATATATAAAAAAAAAATGTGTATCAGGCACCTAGAATTTTGGGTGGTGGACTTTTCCACTGCAGTAGCCAAGCCAGGGACAGACACAGGTGCTTCATTTAGTGGGGGAATGATGCAAAAGTTGCAGATTTGCAAAAAACAACTTTCTTACCCAGCATTTGTCAGTCACCATCCCACGTGCTCTCCCCATGGGCCCACACCAAACCTTCCCTTATGTCTAGGGAGCTGCCAGACCTCACCTGAGTTTGAGGCTTTCTCTTGGCATCCAGGTGCACGGGGCTCACCAAGCAAATTTGACTGAGCTAAGTCAGAAACCAGACTTTCTGGATCCCCCAGGAGTATTCTCATCTTGGAAACTATCTTCCTTTAGCCTTGGTTCAAAAAAGAAATCAGCAACAGCATAAAAGCAGAAGAATGTTTGAGTGCATTTACATTGCTAATTGTTGTATGGAGTTGCCAGGAGCAGGAAT